CAGAGACCTCTCTCTCTCTCTCTCTCTCTCTCTCTCTCTCTCTCTCTCTCTCTCTCTCTCTCTCAGAGAACTCTCTTGATTTCAAAATCTAAATGAGACTTCCTTCATAGATTTTTGTACTTATCCACAGTAGTCATCACAAGGTGTAAGTAGAGTAGGTTCTTGAATAACATTGTTTTATTCGACTTTATTTCATTCTAATGTTTATAAGGGAGAAAAAAAATTGATTCCTGGCCAGGGCCACTCTCTGTGAAGTTGGCATGTTCTTCTGTGTCTGAGTGGGTTTTCCCTAAGGGTTTCAGTTTGCTTTCTCAGATTCATTTTCATGTTTAATACTTGAAGTGTTTGGGGCCTTTACTTAGAAGTTTGGTGATGTTTTTGTGACCAGAAACATGCTGTAGGAACTTAGTTCTTGTGTATGTTAATTAATCAATGGTAAAATTAGTTTCATTTTGTTGTTTCACTCAAAGTTGCAGTTTCCAAGAACCTATTGAAGAGTTAAGTGAGACATTTCTGTACCATTGATTTGTGACTACTTTTCGCATGTCTTTCCCATTAGATTGAGTAATATGAGTGTGCCTTAACCTCACTTGCCAGTGGAACACAGCCCACCTACTACATTGTAGACCCTCAGCACATACTTGTTGACTATATGGCTAAATGAATGGATGAGTTCCAAGATATCATCCTGCCAATTTCTCAGGAGACAAATAGGACCTATGGTCAACACGATCGGGGCGCGCCCTATTCTGCCTCCCCTTAGAGAGTGACAATGCACAAGAGTGTAGGGAACTCTGAGATGGGCTCCAATTAGAAAACAAAAAGTAAAAATGAAAACCTACACCGTAGAAAGTGAATTTATATTTCTTTACCCTCTTTCCCAAACTTACTTGAATTATGACATTTTTTACCCTGAACATCTATTAACATCCCGCAGAATGCACTTGAGATGCTTCATCGATGGCTTCCTTCCTGGAAAGGGAGGAAGATTGTCAGGCGTGGTGTGGGGGCTGCCCATCCTGAGCCCCCTCACAGTTGCCTTGTGGTTGTGAACACGTAGGCACATATTCAGCCAGCACTACAGTAAAGCAGGAGTGTGAGCAAATTCTGAAAAATGATGGAGCTAGCTTGGGTTTATATTTTTCAGGGAAAAGAGAAGGGAACATGTAGTAAGTCTGGCAGATATAGTCTCTGTAATTATGACAGTGAACCATTTATACATGCCCACTTGTCTTTTGCTGAGACCTGAACCTGCAAAAATGTCAGGAAGCTGGTGTGCAGGTCCCTTAGCTGGTGAGTGCGTCCATCTACTATCCAGTATTTGCATCTCAATGCAGTTCTCTTGTTTTCTGTAGCCACAGACACTCTTTTTGCATATTCCAATAGACCTAAGTGAATTGTGAAGGGACAATGTATGTAATATTAACATTATTGAAGATTTTAGGACATAGCCCTTTTGCACATCTAGCATATGTTATGTAGGCAGAGTTCCTGAGGTGGGCTGTATGAAAGGCAGTGGGTCTCAGATTCCTTTTGGTCAGCCTCTCCTTTGGACCAAACTGCCTGCCCTACCAACTTTGTCTAGTTTCATTTTCCAGTGGAAAAATAAATTGGTGATAATTCGGGGGGAGAGGATTATGTATGCCTTTGCTCTAGCCCTGGAGTATGGATAATTCACATTTGAACCACAATGTATACATGTCTGAGAGGCTAGTTATTGGAAAATTATAGCCTCAGGGTACTGTTGATGCAAATAGGCTTTAGTACACTTTGTAGGGTTAACCAGGCAACCCACAACAAAATAAGTTGATAATGATATAGCAAAGCTCACAGTATTTCATAATTAAAAAGTACCGAGAGTAGCAATTGCAAATTGCAACCAACTTGGGCAATGCTGATGATGTGCTGTTAAAGAGCCCTTCTCCCAGATTTTGCAAATGTCAGCCCTGTGCCTTCGCATATGAAATCAGAGCCTCCTGACTGACAGAGGAGCAGCATGGGGCTGCTGGGCTTGCAGCAGAACATGGTAGGATACTTAGTTGATTTCACATTAGCAGCCCTAGTAACAATGTACAAATGGAAGCATAATCAAACTGCACACCACTCACCATAATATTCCAAAAGAGGACTTAACAAAAAAATCAGTTCAGGGCACATGGGAATGTCTCCGGTAACATGTCCTGTGAGACCTTCTCCCCACTCAGTAGGTCTCAGTCTCTGACTTTTGAAATCATTACCCAGGTAGCATCACCACCTTTGGGTAAGGCCTTCATTTCCTCACACAAGCAGATCCAGAGATGGGCCTTGGGGTTTACAGAGTGCTCAGATTTTCATCTTTAACATGTAAAAGGTTTTAATACTCAGTGTAAAATAATCTCCAACATATAACATTAAATGGAAAAAGCAATGAGTCTGACAGAATATATCAAAATGCTATCTATATTTTAAAAAATTCCCAACAATCTTATATGCAAGTTGATGCTTTTATGGCTAGATTATCTCTAGAAAGGAATATAAGAAATGGATCAAAATAGTAACCTCTTGGGAGTATTGGCTGCTGGGGACAGGGATACTCACTCATGCTTCTTGAATTCTGTACCATTTATATAGTAACTATTAAAAATACCAATGAATTTAAATTTAGACAAGAAAAGGAGTGAGCTTATAGAGACTACCTTTTTGTCTCAGGTTTTGTTTTTGTGAGTTTTTTTTTGTTTTGTTTTGTTTTGTTTGTTTCTTTACTGTTCTGGCACCTTTTCCCCCTTCAAAACCATGGCCGTGTATTGAACAGGAGAATCTAGAAGAAAACTGCTGAAGGAGATGACAGAGTGATAAAAGCAGGCCCAGGCCCTGGGATTCTGGACTGAGTGTAAGGCCTCAGTCTTGAAACAATAGTCTGATAAGTTAGACCTGTGATTCAACTTCCCCAGTGTTCAAGCTGTTTTCATGAAGAGTGTATGCAAAATCCAAAAAAGGAGTGCTCTTCATAAGGACCTGCCCTACAGTGTGCATTTGCAGCTCGAATACAGGAAAACAAAAGACAAAACAAGGGAGAGAATTCGGAGAGCAAAGCAGGTTTACATGTACTCATTGTTCTTACTTCATCCACTTTAGTACTGCTCAAGGAGACAAAGCAACAACTTACATTGATTTGCTATCAGGAATTGAAAAGAGAACAAACAAATATTACACTATTTAGTACTTCCTAATGAAAAACATAACATTTCACCACTTATGTAAAAAATAATTGTATCTTTTCACATAAATTGACACAAGAGTACATTGTCTTTGCATCTCAAATGCTCATTATGCTGATTAACAATTCTTTTTCTTAGAGCACAATATCCAAAGGGATGTGCATTATCTGTAAATTGTTTGGGTTCTGAGCCACTGCAGATGGGCCACAGGGAAGGAAATGTTTCGGAGCTGGAAGGAAATGCTTTGGACAGTATGAGAGTCCTAACTCCGGGTGGCGTAGACAGGGATCAGAATGAATTGACTAGAAGAGGGCTTTATGCAATGGGCACAGACTTCTGGAGGCGGGCACACAGGGTGGGTCCATCTGGCATAGTTGGGAAGATTCTATAATAAAGATGACATACCAGTAAGAGTTGTTAATTACCCCAAGGCCTTGGTCAGTTTACGAAGACTGTAAACCCCACAAACCCCGTCCCTCGTCTGAGGGTATTTCCTTATTGTGAAGTGTGCAAATATGCTTCCCACCCCATGCTTCTGGTCCTCCTAGTCACCCCTACTTTAGCCCCTTTCCTAGCTGCCCAGGCCCCGGCAGCCTGGGACAACTAGAACCGTGTGTTTCCAAGCTGGGTTCACTGAGCGGGGATGCAAGTCCCCAGCAGCCCGCCAGGAGCCCACGCAAGGAAACGGCTCGGCTTGGGTCTGAATGGCTTACATTTTTCCTCGCCTGAATTAGCCGGTAATTGCATGTGGGCAGACTCGGCCAGGGATGGTCTAAATGACCAATTAGAAGGCAAAGAGGAGTTCCTTTCTTTAAAGTTCAAGGGTCCCCGGTGAAGAGCCCTACTTCTTCCCAAGCCACGCTCACGTGGATCTCTGCCCGGCGCTCAGTGGTGCTGGCGTATAGTGTACATTTGCCTAATGATAATGAATTGAGTACTTATTTTGCAGTAAAATATGGGGCACTTCCATTACGTGCAATCAAGCAAAAAGGTTGTAAAATGTGCCACTCCATTAATTTTAAACAGAATCCTTTCCCAAATGTCGCCCTGAAACCAGAGCATGGGGGTTATTACAAATCTGAAGGAATTAAGAGTAATTTTCATTTGTACAAAGGAGCCGAGGGACATTTTTCCTGCCACACATACACTATCAATTGGGTTAAATTTGCCAATTTGAGTGTGCATCACTAGGCCCTCCTGGCCTGCTTGGTGGCGAGGTCAATGGGCGCCTGTCTTGGTGGGTGTGCATATGTGCACACATACACATGCAGCTATAGGACAGGCAAAGAATGTGATGTAATTGGCTAGTTATGAACAAATACGTATGTTGTTCAAAAGGAAAAACAAATGTCAAGTTCTGACAAGTCTCTACCTCTCTGAGCCTTTTCCTCATCTGGGAAAGGGGTGTATAACACCTGCTTCAGCGGAAGTCATGAGGACTAATGAATGTGAGTACATCAGAGCACTTAGTGTGCTGTCTGGCACATAGTTTATACCCATTAAATGGTAACTATTATCTCTATTTTCATCTTTGGTGGGGGGTGTCTTTTGGACCTAAGCTGGTTCCCAAGAGACACAGGGAAATCTGGATCCAGCACCAGGATGGGGACAATCTTCTGAGGCCACTCTGGCTCCGACCTCAGGGCTTGGGAGGAATGGGTCAGTCCACTGGATTTCTGATCATTTCCTTCCTAATTTGGTCCCCAGGATGTCTGGGTCATGGCTGGGCTTTGTGGGATGGCACAGAGCGGGAGGCAGAAATAAGCAGGTTAAGGTGGTTCGGAGGACAGTGCTGCCTGTCCCTCAGTCCACGTTCCGGTACTTGGTGAAGAGGTTGTACAACACTCGCAGCGTGGATTTCAGGTCACAGTTGACGATGTCTGTGTAGAGAAAAAAATACGTAAAGCTTTGTGTGGGGGGGACGGACACGTGACCCAAAGTTGGCATCTGTTAACCTCTCCCATCCACCACCCACCGCATGTGACCCCATGGTCCTGCGTAGATGCCCTCGCAGCCACAGGGCATCATGCTGTGCTCCAGCATCCCCCAGGAGACCATGGTGGGTGCGGAAGGATGGGTTGTGGAGTGTTCAGCAAGAATTCAGAGCAGGGAGCAGCGAGGGGCAGCTGTGCTGAGCCGGGGCATGGCCTATCAGGAGAATGAAGCTCATGTAGCCTTCACCCAGACATAGCATTGCCAGGTACAAAGGGTGCTTCCCTGATCCTGACTTTCCCCCTAAGTCACACCTGTCCCAGGGGGCGCCCCTCACCACAGAACCAGCCATGAGTGGTAGGAAGAAGGGGAGAGTCTGAGGCTACTGGCAAAGAGGTGGGGAGTTAGGGCTAAACTGCCTCTCCCTCAGGAAGGGAGGGCCCTGGAGGACACAGAAGCCCAGGCAGAGAGTGCTGGGTAACCATATGCCTCAGGGGCCAGACAGTTTCAGATTAAGAAGAGCCAGGCAGCTGGGAGTAGGATTAGATTTTCAGGAGAGTTCTCCATGAGTTCCCAAGCTTTTATACAACCATTTCCTCCATTCCCTCCCTCCCTTCCTTCCTCCCTCGCTCCCTTTCTTCTTTCTTCCCTTTTATTTAGTGGTCACTTCCTTCCCTGGCTGTCCCTCTAACCCTCTGCAGGCCCCTCCACCAACTCCTCCCCCACCAAGGTCCCTGCTCTCACTCCCTGGGAGTGCCTTCCTCCAAATAACTGGAGTTGGAAAACATACAAGAAAAAAAGGAACTCTGCCTACTATTCAGGAATGCACCCTAAGGCAATAAAATTGTAAGAAAATGCAAATAAAATAAAATAAAAAGACAAAAGCTGGTAAAAGTCAGCAGAGTGGCCGTCTTCAGGGAGGAGGGAGAGGATTATGTTCCAAAGGGCAGTTTGGCGGGAACACTCGGAAGCTGGGAGGGCTCCTCTCCCTGAGTTGGTGGTGGTTGCCTGGTGGCTCGCTGGGTAATATTTCACTAACCTGAACATCTATATCTTAAGCCCCTTTCTGTAACTGTGATATTTTCACAGTAAAGATGATTAAAAGGACACCTGACTGTGCAGAAGGTCAGAGGAGGTAAATGATATCAGAGAAAACAATAAATGCTTTGGGATTCGAAGGTGGGGGAGAACAGGCTGAGCGGCTGGGAAAAGAGAGGCTGGGAAGATGTCAGCACTCTAGCAATGCCCTTGTCTAGGTCAGAGGTCCTCCAAGGCCAGACAGAACAGAGGCCATTGGCTCTGTATGGCTGGACTATGGTTCCCGGGTCTCAGCCTTGGGACCCTTGCCCATGTGGTCGCCACAGACAAGTGCAGCCACAGGGCTACATACCAAGGGCCTGGGGAACCTCTTTAGGGCTCCTCTCCATCCCTAGACACCCTCCTGTATGCCCCTACTGGGCCTTATCCCAGTTGCAGACTGACCCTCTCCCACCCCAGCTGGGCTTGGAATCAGCTCCAACTTCTCCTGTTGATGGACCAGGCGCTCCCAGGCCTGGCACTTGGCCTCCCTTTCTGCTCCCAGGCTGGGTCATGCCTATATCTGAGCCTCAACCCAGAGGCTGAACCACATTCATGCCCCATCAGCCCTATGCACTGGGGCTGATTCTTGTCCTATGGTAAAAATCAGTCCCAAAGGCTTAGGGCTGATGGGGCATGAATGCAGCTTGGTATTGTGTTTCTTAAATTCTACTCAAGTCAAAGACCAGGAAGTTACTCCAGGTAGAAACTGCTAGACAAGCAGAGAGGAGAGAAAGTGAGCTTACCAAGGGAGTGAGCGTGAAGGTGAAGGTTGGATGGTACTGGAGCCATGGAACAGGCTTCTCAAAGCCTCTTGCCCTCCCCAATCCTTTCTACCCACTCTAGCTGGACTGTTCAGCCTTTGGGAGGTTTGTGTTTCCAGAGAACTAAATGGTTGTGAAGTTTGGGCAGCAAAGGTCCTCTGAGATACAAACCCCAAGTTTCCAGGGGATTTCGGGGTACAGTAGGGCTGAGTGTCGAACAGCCTGGCAGAGGATGTTTTCCTGACCTCGAAACCACTTTGCCATGAAAAATGCCTCCACCACTGCCTACAGAAGATATTTTCCCATTGATTTTTATTTTTTATTTGTAATCCTCACCTGAGGATATTTTCCCACTGATTTTTAGAGAGAGAGGAAGAGGGAAGGACAGAGAAACATAGATGTGAGAGAGACACATCGATTGGTTGCCTCCTGCATACACTTCAACCAGGGCCCCAGCTGGGTAGGAGCCTGCAACCAAGGTACATGCCCTTGACCAGAATCGAACCTGGGACCTCTTGGTCTGCAGGCTAATGCTCTATCCACTGAGCCAAACTGGTTAGGGCCCTAATTGATTCTGAAACACCCTAAAAGAATGGCGCACATCGGCACATTTCATAAATCCTGTAGCATCCACTGCCGGATTTCCCTGTCCAGGGAGGAGCATGCATGCAGAGGGAGTGCTGGGTACACCCCTCATCAGGTACCATTTCACCAAACACCGGTTCATTTCTCCTTTACACACTGGAAATTCTAAGCCTGGGCGTGACGCCCAGTGTAACAACGGATAAAACAGATGTGTTTCTCCATTCCCCTTGGGCAGGAAGTTTCATATTAGTCAGTTCAATAATTGTACAAGACTTGTCATGGAGGTGCTGAAATATCCCTATCAGTTAATTGACGTTGGGAAACTTGTCTGTCTTGAGGGAAATAAATGCCTGAACACTGAAATATCAGAATGAGTACTTCTAGCCCATCACTAGGAAGTTCATATGAAGCAGCTTGAAGAAACAGAAGCAAACATACTGACCACAGCTCTCTATTATCTCTCTCCTACCCAAAGATAGGGTGCTCACCAACTGGCTACAGTATACCCGGGGACCATTCCTCATGCCATTAGGATACTACAGTGGCCTTCCCAAGAAGAGACACTATACAACAGAGGTGGGGAAACTTTTGTCTGCTAAGGGGCCATTTGGATATTTATATCATCATTCAAGGGCCATACAAAATTACCAACTAAAAAATGAGCCTGCTATATTTGGTCAAACATTTAATTAACTCACCCCTAATACCCCAGAAGGGTCAGACCAAATGATTTCTTGGGCCTTATACGGCCCACAGGCCAGATATTTCCAACCCCTGTTCCAACCCCTGCTCTAGAGGGACATAGTCTTTTTCATTTTGTTGCTGGTCTCCTTCACGTGAAAAAAACTATTTAGTGCAGTGGTTCTCACCCTTTATAATGTTGGGACCCTTTAATACAGTTCCTCATATTGTGGTGACCCCCAACCATAAAATTATTTTTATTGCCACTTCATAACTGTAATGTTGCTACTGTTAATGATTCATAATGTAAATATCTGTGTTTCCCGATGGCCTTAGGTGACACTGCTAGTGGTTCTTTCCTGTATTTTCTTATTTATCTTTTTTATCTTTTTTTTTTTTTTCTGTTGTGACCCACAGGTTGAGAACCACTAGCATGGTCTAAACGGGTAGTGGGACATCCTTCGAGGGGTCCCAGATTGGAGAGGGTGCAGGCTGAGCTGAGGGACACCTCCCTAACCCCATGCAGGAATTTTGTGCACCGGGCCTCTAGTATTCAATAAAAGTAGAGAAAGTGAACATCCTGATCTTAAAGAGAAGGCTTTCAGCTTTCAACTGTGTAATATAATGTTAGCTGTGGTTTTGTCATATATGGCCTTTATTATGTTGAGGTATGTTGCATTTTATCCCCACTTTACTGAAAGTTTTAATCATAAATGGATATTGGATTTTGTCATGTGCTTTATCTGTATCTGTTGATATAGTCATATGATTTGTATTTTTCATTTTGTTTATGGGTTGTATCACATTAATTAATTTGCAAAACTGGAACCAATCTGGCATCCTGGGAATAAATCTCCTTTGATCATTGTATATGATCTTCCTTTGTATTTTTGCTGTGCCTTTGTATTTTTGGTAAGCCGGCATTGGTTACCTGAGCCTTGGGTGGCCCTGGGTGGCTGGGCAGCCACCATCTGAGGCTTGCCTGCACCTCAGGTCTGCCCTGGGCGGCTGAGGGAGTGAGAGGACTGGGGGACTCTGGAGGCAGGCATGCAGAGTGGCCAGACCCGCCTGGGGGCAGGCCTGGCAGTGCAGCCCTAGCAGGGCTGAGGGAACTGGGTGCTCCAATTTTATGGCTGTGGGTGTTGCCATCTTTGAGGGTGTGACAGTCAATTAGCATATTCCCTCTTTTTTGGCTGTGGACACTACCATCTTTGTGAGGGTGTGACCATCAATTAGCATATTCCCTCTTTATTAGATAGAATTTTATTAAAGGCCTTCTCCTTTATTCTTGGAGACTTGCTAAAGGTTTATCAATTTTATTTTTCTAATGAACCAGCTCTTGGTTTCATTGATATTTTCTATTGTTCTTTTTGGACTAATTTCATTTATTTCCACTCACATCTCTTTTTGGACTAATTTCATTTATTTCCACTCTCATCTCCTTCCTTCAACTCATTTTGGGAATTTTCTTTTCTCTAGTTCTTTTAGTTAAAAGGATAGATTGTTTGAGATTTTTCTTGTTTCTTGAAATAGGCCTATATTGCTATGAATTTCCCTCTTAGAACTGCTCTGGTTGTGTTCCACAGATTTTTAGGATGTTAGGTTTTCATTTGTTTCAACTTAACTTTTGATTTATTTCTTGATTTCATTGGTAACCCATTCATTGTTTAGTACCATTATTTAATCTTTATGTGTGTGTTTTTCTACTTATAGTTGATTTTATTAGTAGATTAATACCATTGTGATCAGAGAAAATACTTGTTATGATTTCAATCTTCTTAAATTTATTGAAATTTGATTTGTGGCCTAATGTGACCTATCCTGGAAAATGTCCCACTACATACACTCAAAAATAATGTACATTCTGTTGCTCTGAGGAGAAATGTTCTAGAAAAAAAATCAATTAAATTCATCTGATTTGATGTGTCATTTAAGACCACTCTTTTCTTGTTGATTTTCTGTCTGCATGTTCTATCCATTGCTATATTATTATTGAGCTCTCCCTAATTTCTTGTATAACTCATAGTTTTTTGGTTTGTGGTTACCATGTAGTTTATATATATGGGGTGAACCAAAAGTAGTTGTTCAAATGGAGTATAATATATTAATTAGTAAATAATAATACAAGAATAAATTTTTTGTTTCAAGTACTCATAACTATAAACCTACTTTTGCCCCAACCTAAGCTATGTTTATAGCAGTTTATTTTAAGATGATGGTCACTTAAGTTTGAACACATTCTAAAATCACTACAAATTTTACTCACCCCCTCATTTATGTTATCATTCTCTTTTACTTCTTTTGTGTTTGTAGTAATTACACATGATCTTCCTACTTTCCCTTTTAACTTTTTTTTTACTAGCTTTATAGTTGGTGATCCACTACTTTTATTTAGTATGTTTGCTTTTATCACTGAGAACTTTTTCTTTCCTATATTTTATTATTTATATTTTTGATCTTTTTTTTCTCTTCTTAAAGATGCCCCTTTAACATTTCTTGTAAAATTTGTTGTAATACTGGTTTAGTAGTGATGAACTCTTTTAGCTTTTCCTTGTCTGGAAAACTCTTATTTCTCCTTTGATTCTAAATGATAGCCTTACTGGGTAGAGCATTCTTAGTTGTCTTTGCCTTTTGTAACTTTAAATATTTCTTGCTATTCCTTTTGGCCTGCAAGGTTTCTGTTGAGAAATCAGCTGACAGTCTTATGGAAGCTCCCTTTTATGTAATTAACTGCTTTTCTCTTGATATTTTTAAGATGCAATCTTTGTCTACTACCTTTGGCATTTTAATTATGTTGTGTCTTGATGTGGGCCTCATTGGGGTCATCTTGTTTGGCACTCTTTGCACTTCTTTGATTTGTATCATATGTCTATTTCCTTTGCCAGGTTAGGGAATTTTTCAGTTCCTTGTTCTCTCTCTTGCCCTTCTGGTACCCTTGTGATCCAAATGTTTGCTTGATGTTGTACCTCAGGTCCCTTATATGCTTAATGTTGTCCTTCAGGTCCCTTAAACTATCCTAATTTTTTAAAATTATTTTTCTTTTTGGTACTATAATGGGTGTTTTCTGCTGCTTCTCCCAGATCACTTATTCAATCTTCTACTTCATCTAATCCAGTGGTTCTCAACCTTTCTAATGCCATTACCCTTTAATTACCTCATGTTATGGTGACCCCCAACTATAAAATCATTTTTGTTGCTACTTAATAACTGTAATTTTGCTATTGTTAATGAATCGTAATGTAAATATCTGTGTTTTCCGATAGTCATAGGCTCTATAGCAGTGGTTTTCAACCTATGAGTCGTAATTCTAATCTGCTGTTGATTGCTTCTAACGTATTTTTAAAAATATTTTATTGATTTTTTTATAGAGAGGAAGGGAGAGGGATAGAGAATTAGAAACATCGATGAGAGAGAAACATCGATCAGCTGCCTCCTGCACCTCTCCTACCGGGGATGCACCGAAAACCAAGGTACATGCCCTTGACCGGAATCGAACCTGGGACCTTTCATTCCGCAGGCTGATGCTCTATCCATTGAACCAAATTGGTTTCAGCTCTAATGTATTTTTCATTTCAATTATTTTATTTTTAATTTCTGACTGGTTCTTTTTTTACGTTTTCTATCTCTTTGTCAAAGTCCTCACCGAGTTCATCTATTTTTTCTCCCTAAGATCATTAAGCATCCTTATATCTGTTTTAAAATCTGCATCTGGTAGATTGCTTGTGTCCTGTGGGGCCCAGAAGTGTAGTCTGTCTGCCTGGTTACCTGAGCTGCTCCAGTGGAGTTCTTGTGTGTTTTGTATGTGCCCTCCTAATGTAGTTGAGCCATGACTGCTGCTGGCACATCAGTCAGTGGGGCTGGCCCTCAGGTTGCCTGATTGCGAGGGCTGGTTGTGACTATTGCAGATGAGCTGTTATGCTGGGACTGACCCACAGAGCAAGAGTCACTTTAGGGCTTTGATGCAGCCAAGCCTGCCAAATGGGTGTGTTGTTTGTCGAACTGGTTGGGTGGCGTTCTGGGGTGGTCTGAAGCCAACCACCAGTTGTGTTGGTTCTGGAGGTCCTTAGGAGGGGAACTAGTGCAGGTCAAGGTCAGCCTCTGCTTGAACCTGCCGCCCCTCTTTCTAATCTCCAAACAGAAATCCTATCTGATCCTTATGGTTTAGCCCAACTACCACCATGTCTATGAAACCATCTTCCACCTCAGAGAGAGGTGAGCATAACACCCGCAATTCTATCAACCTCTTAGTTGTATCTTTTTCATGGCAATTATCACCATTGTCCTTTTGTTCTGGTGACTGGGTACATCTCTTTTCTCCCCTGAGTGGTCTCAAGTTCATTGAGGTCAGGCTAGCCTACCTCTCTTCGCAGGGAGGTCTCAGGCCCACTGGACAGGCAGTGAAGGACCACTCCCATGTGAAGGTTTGGGTGAAAGAATTCAGAGCAGAGGCAGCAATGGGGAGAGAAAGTACACAATCCCTACGTGTCCACTTGCCTTTAAACACCCAGGAAAGTCAAGCAACAGGGCCCACTTATGGCATTCTTAATATTCCAAATTGACATAAACAGAAAATTATCTTCAACACAGTATTGAATATCCTCCTCCTGCCCCATCCAACCACTGATGAACCTTGGTAGTGCTGGTAAAATGAAATATTTCAGTCAGTAAGTTTCAGAAAATAAATATCCGTACTAAGAAGAACTCCTACTGCACAAATGCACACATAGCTCCAAGCACCAGCACAGAAGGGCTAGTGGAGCATTTTGTTATTTGTGCCTTTAGGCAGGTCAGTACCCTGTCCAGGGACCGAAGAACCTGGAAACTGGGCATAGGGCAGTTTCTGCAGCAGCACCTCTGCTATGTACCACATCTGTATCCCATGCATGAGATTTCAGATTTTTACTTCTGATGGCCATGTGATTAGCAGCTCAAAAAGGATTTCTAGGACTGAGCAGCTGTGCCCTGTCACACCTAGCCCCTAAAAATGGTAAAAAAAAAGACTTCTGAAAAGAAACTCATTCTTCTTTTCTCAACCATGAACCTTGCCCTGTGTCCCCAACACTCATGTACAGGAAGAGGTTCTCATCTTGTCACAAACCCAGCAAAAGAGCAAAGTACCTTCTGGCCGAGGTTTTGGCTTTTCCAGCCCTCCATCTTGCATGAGCTCAAAGGCAAAGGAGACGTTTAAGACCTGGAAAGAGAAATGCAGTGTATATGCTATTACACACTCATTCCTGGGCCCTTGTGGATCCTGGGATCTGCCCCTGGGAAGTGATGGAGCTAGAGAGACAGAGGCTGAGCTAAAATTTCCTAATTTGAAGGAGAAGTGAGGTTACCAAAATGGGCAGGCCACATGGAGTGAGCACTGCTGGAAAAGTTCAAAATCCTTTTTTCTATTCTACTGTGTTAAACTACCAGGGTTTCAACTCAGTCACATTAGTGCTCTCAGTTGAAAGAATCAGAGAGCAAGACATGTGCACAAGAAGCAGAGAAGGGTTTCTACCTTGGATCAAATGCCCCTTATCTGGCATGCAGGCTGTGGCAGCCTATAAGAGGCATTGAAATGAGGCTGAGTGAGGGTCCTCAGGAACAACCAACCTTATCACTTCTGGGAGAGATGAGACTGAGCAGTGTTACCTGGCTGGGGAATATGACTAGGGGACCAAGGCCAGGCTATGTTGGTGGGTGGGTGGAGAGAAAGTGTTAAAATGCTCTGTGATCTTTCCAGCTCAGTGCTCATCAGAATGCCCCCATCCAACTACTGAAGACCATGGGTAGACAGGAAGCTGCTGCCTTTTGCCCAGATGGCCCCAGTATAGACATAGGTGGATGAGTCAGAGCATGTGGGTTAGGGCCTCCTGCCACATTGCCTCTTCTTACCTTCTGTTCAAAGCTGTCCGGGGTCAAGAAGAAGCTGTGCAGGGGCACAAAGTAGCCCTCCAGGAGCCCCATGAGTAGCACCAGGTACACCCCATCTGCAAACTGGAGAAAGAGAGCCAGTGAAGGCATTGGGCCCTTGAGTCACCAGCCAAGCCCCTCAACCAGAGGGCTCATCATGTCTGCCTGTCATGATGTCTGGCCTTTCCCATATCTGGCTGGTCCACCACTGGAGACAGCGTCCATGGTCCTGATCTCAGTTGATCCAGCATTTATTTATTTATTTTTAAATATTTTTATAATTTTAAAATATTTTTTCTAAAAATATATTTTTATTTTTAAAATCTTTTAAAAATATTTTTTATTGATTTCAGAGAGGAAGAGGGAGAGAGAGAAACATCAGTGATGAGAGAGAATCTTCGATGGGCTGCCTCCTGCATGCCCCACATTGGGATCGAGCCTGCAACCCAGGCATATGCCCTGACCAGGAATTGAACCGGGACCTCTTGGCTCACAGGTTGATGCCCAACCACTAAGCCACACCAGCGAAGCATGATCCAGCATTTATTGAGCCCTGACCATGTTACAAGCTCTAATCCGGCACATGGACCACAGTCATGGGCCATGTGTGGCCTCTTCCCTAGAGGAGCTCACAGTCCAGTAGGGAGACTGATATAGAGAAAATGCAGCAACTGCTCTGATGGAGGGACGCAGGTTGTGTGAGTGACAAAGGTCACTCTCTCCCACTGAAGGCAACAGCGAAGGCTGCCGCCTGAACGGAGACTGGAGGAATGAGCAGGAATTAGCTAGGGTGGGACAGAAGGAGGAGGGTAGGGGGATGTCCAAGGCCAATGGCATGAGGCTATTGGCCTTGGTAGCAAGGTGAAGTGCTTTGTGAATTAAGAACTCTAGTGTCATACAGGCCTCATCATTCTCCTTTCGCATATCTCACTGTATCATTGCTTAAGAGGCAGGACAGCATAGCTATTAAGAAGTTGGGCTCTAAAGCTAGACCTGCAGTTCTACCATTTATTGGCTGTGTGATTTGAGCAAGTTACATAACTTCTCTGTTCCTCATCTTTCTCATTGGTAAAATGGGGATGACGGTAGTATAGTTTCTACTTAACAGGATTATCATGAGGACTAAACCAGTTAATAGGTATAAAGTGCCTACAGTACACCTTGATGTGTAGGCAAAACTTAATATTTAACTATAGGCCCTCGAATAACATCATTACATTATAACATTGATGAGAAAAAAAGTTGACTTTCAGCTGTGGCCACTGTCTATGTGAAGTTGGCATGTTCTCATGTCTGCATGGTTTTTTCCATGTACTCAGGTTTCCTCCCACATCCCAGAGATGTGCACGTCAGATGAATTGGTGTGTCTACAGTGTCCCAGTCTGTGTGAGTGTGGGTGGAAGGGCGTCTTGTCAAGGACTGAGTTCTGCTTTGTGCCCTGAGTTGCAGGGATAGGCTCTAGCCACCTGTGACCCTGAACTGGAGCAAGCAGATTAGAAAATAATTCTTACTTATTTTTATTAATATTTCTTAAATGTGCTGAAACCGGTTTGGCTCAGCGGTAGAGCGTTGGTCTGCGGACTGAAAGGTCCCAGGTTCGATTCCAGTCAAGGGCATGTACGTTGGTTGCGGGCACATCCCTGGTGGGGGGTGTACAAGAGGCAGCTGGTCGATGTTTCTCTCTCATTGACATTTCTAGCTCTCTATCTCTCTCTTCCTCTCTGTAAAAAAATCAATAAAATATATTTAAAAAAAAAAAAAAAAAAAAAAGCTCGAACCTTCTCTTTAAAAATTTTTTTTAAAAAAATATTTCTTAAATGTACACAGAATGCACATTTATTCCAATGTTGAATATTAGAAAAGTTGGGGAGGGGGTCTTTATTTAGAACTTTGGTGACATTTTTGTGACCAAAAATACGCTGTATGAACTTGGTTATATCAACTAGCCAATGGGAAATTGGTTTAGTTATATGTCATTTTGCTTTGAGTTGCAGTTTCTAAGACCCTAGTGATAATGTTAAGTGAAGATGTAGTGTATTGCTTACTATCTGGGAAAACAACAAAGCAATCAGGGCACAAGTTACTGGCAGAGCACAACCGTGTGCTGAGGGCCAGGACAAGAGACTTAGAGCCCTGTTTTCCCATCAAGGACAGTAGTCTGGATGGGCTAGGAATCTGGTCTAAGGGACCATCAATTCCTGGGCTAAGCAGAGGGATTCAGGTATTCTGCTCAAGGAAGGGTAAGGTGAGTGTGTGCTGGGCACTGGGGCAGGTTTTGTGGAGGAGTGGAGGCCTGTGGGATGAGAGAAATTTGGAAGGAGTAGGTGTTCTAGGAATGGAGAGGGGCCTGAGCAACGGTAGAGAGATCGGGTGAGATTCTGGTATCCTAGAACCTTTCAAAGGAAGTAGGGCCACCCAATGTTTGTGGGCATAAACAACAGTTGCTAGAGTTCACAAGAGGCCAAAGTTCTTGGAATCATCTTAGGAAACTTAAAAAAAAAAAAAAATTGCCCGGAATGTGAGCTGGGCCCCGAGTCAGAGATCTGCCAGGTGGCTGGCTGGTGGGCCTGTGTTTAGCCTTTGTTATGGGCATGAACTTGGCCGAGGAACAGCTTTCTGCCTGCTTCCATCCATCAGGTGGGTAGGGCCTGAGCATGACTCATCCTAGGTCACCCCAGAGGTGGACAATTCAAGAGCAGACCCAGCATCCATGTTAAAATCAAGGCCAGCCCTGTGGAAACAGTTAATTGGGCCTCATTCTGGCTATGGCTGGAATGGGCTGAGGATAAAAAATTCCAATCTTACCAACTCACCAGAGAACCTCGAGTTAGGATCGAGGTTACTCACAGCTCTGAGTGCCACTGACATGAACAGCTCCCACCCTGACTGCTCTTTCTGATGACTTGATGGTAAAACCCGCAGACAAATACCAAACACACTCACCAGAGACTCCCTTTCATAGCACACCCTGTCCATGCAAACTTAGGCAAAGTCCTAGATCTCATTCTAGCTCACTCGAGGAAATATCACTTTTCCAGAGTGTTCCCTAACTCCCCAAAGAGCATATAAAATTCCCACAGAGTCCAGACACATTCAGACACTACTCAGGCACAGACCTGGAATTGCTTTTATTTATTTAAAAATTTTTAAATGATTTCTGAGAGAAAGGGTGAAGGGGAGACAGAAACATCAAATGATGAGAGAGAATCATAGATTGGCTGTTTCCTGCATGCCCAAGCCCGCAACCCAGGCATATGCCCTGATCCCCTAGTTCATAGGTTGATGCTCAACCACTGAGCAACACTGGCTGGGCCAGGAATTGCTTTTAGAAACAAGAAGAGAGGTCCATGTGCTCAAAAGAAAACCTCATCTTAGAAATTCATCACAAATGAAAGGAGGTCGGGAAATAGAATACATTACACAGCCTTAAAGTATCTCCCACTAAAGATTAGTTATTACTTATAAAGGAGAGAGAGGATCTTTGCATTAGGGAGGTCTGGTGGACACCAGCTTACCTCTGTGACCAAAGTTACTATCACCAGTCACGGACTACTGGACAAAAGTGTTTGAGAAGACAGCATTACTCAGGCGGTGATGTTTATGAAAATGCATAACCTGAATCTAATTGTGAGGAGGGATATTTAGAGACATTCTGTGAACCAAATGGCCTGCACTCTTCAAAAATGACTTCCTGTAAAGAAAGGCTGAGGATCTGTCTATAACAAGAAACATGACAACTAAATCCTGCATGGGAGAATATTAGGGAGACTGAAAAAACTGGAATATAGAGTTTCTTTGAACCAAGTGACATTGTCAAAAGTAGTCAAATATCAGCAATTGCATATGGTTGAACCTAAAAAATGTATTCTATCAATGTTAAAATTACCAGAATTGAATCAGTGGGTGTGGTTATCTAAGAGAATGTACTCGTTATTAAGAGGTGTATGCTGAAGTACTTAGGTGAAGAGAGAGGGGGAAAAAACACACACAAATGTGGCCAAATATTAATAATTGGCGTATGTAGGTGAAGAGTGTTTAGATATTCATGATAACATTCTTGCAACTCCTCAGAATAAATTCAGATAAAGTCCAAAGAGGAACAGAATCCCCTCCTTCCTGGAAAAGCTTGTGGAAAGCCCTCTTGGCAGTGCAGGGATGGGGCACTTGGAATGGTAGCAGTTGAGTAGGGCCTGGCTCCCCACCCAGCCCTTGGGGCTGTCACTCACCTGGGTTTCCAGTTCTGTGACCTCCAGGTTCAGTTTATTCAGGTGCTTGTTCACAAAAGTGATGAGAGTCTAAAAAAAAGAAGCAGAGGCGCTTTGAGATGGAGACTCACCAGTGCCAGGCCCTTGAGGCCGCCTTTGTGACTCCACCGTGAGGACAAGGACCAGGGAGACCCTGCTGAGAGCACTGGGCCTGGGATCACCGTGACGAGCTGAGTGAGGATGAGTGAGCAGCCTGAGAGACTTTTCTGCAAAGGCCCTGGAGTTCCTAGGAAAGGAGGCTCCCAAGGGTTTACGGTCCTGGACGCTATGTGATTCAAACTGTGAGAGGAGCTGGGAGTCCTGGGTGAGAGGTGGAGTGTCTGACCCCAAGGTCAGGGGGCCAAAAGAAAATTAAGAAGGAGGCCAGAGAAGAAATGACCCCACTGGGTCCCTCCTTCCAGGCCCTTTCTAGGTGCAGGTGCCTGTGCCCAAGGAACAGAGGGAGGTGTGTGTGTGGAGGCAGGGACGGCTGGATATTGAGTAAGGGTGGAAACAGGGTGCTCATAGCAGTCTCAGAACCCTCTGAGAGAAGCTATCACCCTGACAGGAGAAGAAAGGCACTGGATGAGTCTCCAGTGAGAACAAGACAGGAAAAATGGACATCAAGTAGGAAAGCCCATGTTTGCAGAGATTTGGTGATGAAGCCAGGTTTAGGAAGCTTGTGAGCTGTAGGTAATGATGTTTCCTAAAATATTTTGCTCCATCCCCACTGCTTCCCTACCAGGCGCCCCTCTCCCACCTTTTTCACCACGTTGAGCTTGTCTGGTGCATGGTCGAACAAGGTGTCGAAGGCATCACGTTCTGAAAAAGAGGGAAATGTCGATGAAGGACATAGCTGATTCCTGGTGGGAAGCCCACCCCAGATCCTGGCCACATGGTCAGGTACAGATGGAAACTTTCCGGGGCATGAGGCTGCGCTGGGAATTCTAGAAGCTGAGTTTAGGGTAGAGATTTGGGGTATGCTCACCTAAGGAGCTGTGTGTGTGTGTGCGTGTGTGTCCATCCTCTGTGTCAAACCTCTTCTGGGCCGGGATTGAGTGGCTCAGTTAGGCACTTTAACTGGGGACCTGTCGTTTCTCTTCAGTCTTTGTGTTCATTACATTATGATTCAGTCATGACTCTAAAGTGTTTCGGAAGCTTTTTGGAGATAGAATGATATCCAAATATCAAATCACTTCACGCCCTAATGATCAAAACCAGGACACCCAGCCAATCATCCTGGTAGTGTGAATCAATAAGCAGGTTGGGAACCTCCTCTTGAGTGATCTAGACACTTCAATGCTTTGTGTCTCAGTTTCCTCTTCTTTCCTTTCTTCATGCCACCTGAGAAAGAAACCTCCCAGGTGTGTTATGAGATAAAAGATGAGAGAGGATGTGCATTGCTCAGTATGTCTACTGATCTGAGTTGTTTTAGCATTACTGGAATTGTTCAAAATATGCACAGCAAATACAGGATCACAGGAAGTAGCAAAGCCATACCCCCCACATTCTCTGAACTGGGAAGTGAAATAATGGAGGGAAACCTGGGGCAGGGAAGGTTCCTGGTCTGTATTTCCCTACTCTTGTACCGCTGGGCAAATCCAAGACTTCCAGGAAAGTGAGTGGGACCTCTGACATTCAAACTTTGTGAAGAAACCCAAAGTTCGGGGAGGTGGGAGAGACAGGAGCTATGAAAAGGAAAGAGAAAGCAGCAGCTTCGAGAAGGGATAGGAAGAGAGGAGACAATCCGAGCATGTAAATACACCTCCTTTCTTTGCTCTCACCATACGCTTCGAGCAAGACTGCCCAGCACCCATCCAGAGGCCCAGCAATGCCCATGGTCTGGTTAGTTGCAAAAGGACTGTGCAGCTGCGGTTAGTTTTCCTCTTCCTGCCAGTAAGCAGACCCTCCCTACCACACAGCTCTGTCACCAGGCTGCTGGTGCAGACACATGTAGGACGCAAGCTGAGTGCTTATGCTTCCCAGCTGCTGCAGAATTAACCAGACCCCCATGGAAGCCACCAGCACCAATGGACAACCTTACACAACTCACCATGCCTTCCGGAGAGAGCCCTGTAGGAAAAGGAGAAAGAAAACAGTGTGAATCTTCTCTCCTCACCCTTGATTGAAAAGCCCCAAAGTTCTCTTGGCATTCTATACTTAGTAAGTTCACTGCCCAGGATACTGTGGGCATTGGCCTAGAGAGGTCAAGTTCTTCTCCTATACATTCTGTGATACCCATCAAGTTGCACCTCGCCTTGCTCCAAGATAGGTTTTTCTCAAAGAGGGCAGGAATTGGAACTGGACTTTTACCAGTGAAACAGCAAAGAACTAAGAACACAAGCGTTAAAAGACAGACTACTTAGGTTTAAATCCCACAGAGCCGTTTGTTTGCTGTGTGACCTTGAGCAAGCTACTGAACCTCTCTGGACACCAGGTCTCTTATCTCTAAAATGAAGATAGCATGTTGTGAGCATTACATAATTTAATATGTAAAAGATTTTAGCGCAATTCCTGGTATATAGGTAATGCTCAATACATTTTTTTCCTTAATACGTTTTGGGGTCTCATTAGTTTATTCCAACTGCACTTTATCACCCATTACATGATGATTTGTGGGTAATGCATTGGAAAGAATAATGAACTTGGAGTTTACTGCTAGGTGAACCAGTGATAATCTCCTTCTCCACCTTTGGGCTGTGGGGTTTTAGGAGATGTAATCATTGCTTCATGTGTGCTTCAGAGACTGTAGTGTATTGTCAAATTATTAGGAGTTTGCATCCTTGTTTATGTCTATGTGGCAAGATGGCAGAAAGGGGCCATAGGAAGCACAGGGGCAGCTCAGAGAACTGAAACTTCATGTTCCCTAATTTGGGAGCTTCTCACAGGATCTTCTCAGACACGTTTTCCTCTTTTCCACGGATAAGCAGAGGTTAGGGGAGGTAGGGGCGGGATGGAGAGGAATTCTCCTCCCCGCAGGCCTGTCAGGGCAGCTTTCAGCCTGCCCCTCACAGAATCAAGGCCAAGAATGGGTGTGCCTTGTACATCAGCTGCTTTCCTGGCTGCCAGGACCAGACCCTGGAGTGGCGTAGATTAAGGCCATCACCTGGGCATCTGGGGAAGGGCCTCCCCGCACCTCTGCCCTATCCAGGGCCTGAAATGCCCACACTCCTGGGCCCTTTTAAGGCACATTCATAGTGAGGTCCACACCACTCCAGAACTCCATCAGCCACTATGGGGGAGAGGAAGTGAGTTTCCTAGAGATTGAGCTGAAATGGTGTGGGTCAGCTATAATGGGGAAAAGCCAGAAACGTCAGCAATGAAGGGCATGGGCAAGGGAGGGCAGGGTTGTTACCACGTTAAATCCTCACACTCTGTGGTTAGCAAAATGCTCCCTGCTTCAGAGATGAAGACACTGAGGGACTCAAAGTTGAGTCAAGTGGCAGAGTCTGGATTTGAACTCAAGTAAGGCTGGCTTAGAGGTCTCTGCTCTTTAACTTCGCTCTTCTTGTTCAAGAGAGGATAGAGGAGGGATGGACCAGAAAACAAACTTTGCCCGGCCTCGCATGTGGCCAGGGCTCAGGCCTGCCCAGGGATCTCAAACCCACACACGGTCCTGCTCTTTCTGCTTAAGACCCAAACTTGTCTTCCCGTCGGCAAACCGCTTACATGTTTTGATATTTCAATTTCTTCAAGTAAGTGAAAACAACAAAAACACCACTCTAAGGTAGAGAGGGGCTTTCTGGGTCATGGCATGTGACCAAATCAATCAGATTCAGAAAAGGAAAAAAAAAATCCTTTTGAAGGCTAGCAATTTAAATTCAAGTCCATGTTTATGGCATGACGATTTCATGCTGGTTAGCTTTTTGGGGCACACTTTTTTCCCGGAGTGCCACAAAATTAGAATTTTTCAATCACTGCTAATTCTCTCTCCCCACTTCCCCACCCAAGTTTGTACCTTAAGCATTGAGAGGCATGTTTTGAATGCATGGAAAAGGCTAAGCTATAATCATTGGCTGAAGTATAATCCCTCTTGCAATCCCAATAAATGAAAACTAAATATCAGCAAATGGACGAATTTCGGAGAAACATCTGTGTTCCATTACAGAATCGCTGGCAACAATGGTGTTGACATACTCTGTGTTACCAGTTATTTCCTCTTGGATTTGCCGAGACTGGAGGATTCCTTCTCGTTTCTGAAACGGGGGTGGGGAGAAGGGTTGGGAGGAGAAGAGAAAAATATACTTTAGAAAAATACAAAATACCGATTAGCATTCCTGATACTGAGAAAGTTACTGGTGCTGAAGAACATGAGTCTGGAGTTGAGAAGCTTCCAGAAGTGAAACAAGGCCCCTGACTTCCCGGGTCTGGACCGTACCATTCGTACTCCAGTGCAGTTTCATGTTTAGTCCAAACAAGTAGGCTGTTTCTTGGATGGTGAATCTTTTCTTTCTTTATTGGAAGACATTCTGTTGGAAGCAAACTGTTTGCCTCCTGGAGTAATCCACAGTAAACCAAATGGAAATGAAGGCCAGGGTGTGTCTGCCCTCCAGCTGGGGCCACAGAGGGAAGCCGAGAAACACATTCAGCTGGGGGTGCTGGGGTGGAGGAACCAGGCCCAGCTTGGAGAATTCAAATAGAAGGAGAGTTTGTTTTTCCTTCTTTTTACTGGGTAAATACAGGAGCTTTCAAATAACCAGTACAGTCCTCAGGTAACTAGCTTACTCCCTGGGGGAAAGTTAAGTAATTTGGAGGCCCACCCAGCCCATCCATCCATCCACCACCCACCTACCTACCTATCCATCTATCTGACATCTATTCCACCACCCCTCCCATCACTTCATCCTCTCTTCTTTGTTTCATTGATCAGTGCCTTCTGAGTACAATCCCCTAGTTAGTACCTTCTATGGACAAGCCCTTGAATTGGAGTTTGAGGAACTTAAAGAGTAAAACGTCATAGATGAAGCAGGTATGTGAGAATGGTTTCCCCCAAACAGGGTTTTTGCCTGATGACCCAGGAGAGCTATTAGTAGGATTCCTTTCACTCTCAAAAGTGTCTTGGGTAGTAAATCACATGGTCACCCTATGCAGAGACAAAGGCAGGCATGTTCAGCTGGGGATGGTCAGGGAAATCACCCAAGGGGAGGGGTCTTTGAGCTGGCATTCAAAGGACACAGAGGAGAGGCCATTCCTGAGGAAGGAATGGCCTAAGGAAAAAGGCAGAGTCAGAGCACAATGCATTGAGGGGGAGGTTTGCAGGGAGGGTGCACGAGTCAATGGGGAGCCACGTGAGTGCTGGTTTAGAATTTAAGCCTCGCTGGGTGAGCATGGGAGCTAGTGAAGCAGTGCTTGGGTTCAGGAGGACCTTCAGGTGGGCATGAGCAGGGAGATGCATTGCATCAGGTTCCTTCATAGCTAGAGGCCCTTGGAGGGTGGTCTGGGTGTGGAAATCAGTTGTCACAGCAAAGTCATCTTCCTCAAAGGCGGAGGTGAGTGTCCACAAGGACCTTCTGGCACCGGTGTCCTATTGAAACCTGCCTTCTTGACTCTCCTGCCAAAACTTCCGGAACCTTCTCCTCACATTCTCAATAGCCACAGAATCTAGAGTCCTTGCAAAATACTGACAGAAGGAAAGGTAAACCTGGGTAAAGGCAAAGAGTATAGCTCCAAGAAGTTAAGAAGAATGGACTAGCAAAGCAAAAGAGGAAGTAAACATCCCTTAAAGGAGACCCAATGAGGATACATCAGAACTTTCCCAAATACACCTTTAACATAGGTAATGCTTTCATGGGGGGCTGATGGAATCTGTGTCCTTGTCTTGTGAGTCTGTTCACAGATATAAAACCTCAGCCACACATCATGCAGAATTAAATGCTTCTGTACACAAGGGAGAAGAAATCTGGGTTAAATGACCCCTCACACGGCAGCCACTGTTTGTTCCCCTAAAGAGCTCTCTGTAGTTCAGTGACTCACAGCCAATTCCGAGTCCTGCTTCTGTGCCTGCTTAGCTTGATAAAGCAAAACACCCCATAAAACCTGACATGCATTGATGCCATTTTATGTAACGTGTCCTCTTTTCTCCCTCATGCTAACAAGGCTGCCCACAGGACAAATTAAACCAACAACAGCCTTCAGATGGCCCATAATTGAGCTCAAAACAAGGCATAAGGCACGGGCTTGCAGTGACCACTGTTTCAAAATAGGAGCCCGCCCCCCCCTTCTGCTCAGATCTTGAATCATAGTTAAAAAAAAAAAAAAAGTAATGAAACGGATTCACACATTATTGATGGGTAAAAATAACATAATAGAGAAATGGCCTGGATTCACTAGGAAGATACTTGGATCAGGAAGCTCAGGGTTGGTCACGTATTCACAGCAGATAGAAAATGCTCAGCCCCATGCTTGACATAGTTGAGTGCTCAATAAATGAGGCCAATTAGTCCCTTTCAGTCGCCTGCACTTAATGTCTGCACCACACACATTGGCATTGGCTATGGGCCCCTGATAACCCTCTCTGCTGCTTATCTCTAGGCGGGACCAAGGTGGCATAGTCCTATTATACATCTCCCACCCCACCCTCTGGACCCTGGATGTGTAGCAAGTTCAGTACCCAGAAGGTGTAAAAGAAATTTCATTTAGGGCACAACTAAGCTCCCCCAAGTCCTCTTCCATTCACATCTGATCCCTGAAAGCTCAGCTCAAAGACCTTTTGTCCTGGAAACTGGCCTGGCCTGGTGTGGCAGAGCTCACCAGCCCTCCAGGCTCTTCCTCACCACTGGATGCAGAACTGCCATGTTATTCTCTATTCCAGATTCCTGGATACTCCGGGAGCTGCTTATAAGGGGAGTCTTCCCTTGCAGCATGATTATTTGGAAAAGAACAGAAACAAGCAAACCAAATGACCTTTTGCTAAATGGCATAAAGTTGGAAAATAAAATTGAATTTGAGCATCTAATGGGGTTAGGGGTAGAATGAGATAGTCACAGGGAGAGTGCACACCCTCATTGTGGAAATTATACCGCCATGTGAATGGAAATTCCATCCAATGATCTGGAAAAGATGACTTGAGAGCCCAGCTGTGCTTCTCGGGGCGGGTGAAAAGGGGCAGTGTCCTTAGCCCAGGCATGGCCAGTCGGGTCTCTCAAGCACACACATACACACACAAATGTGCCCTCACGTCTGTCTCTTCCTCATACCTGTGCACCACTGTATACCCAAAAGATAATTCTCTATGGCTTGCAGAGTGTGCATGCACACATACACACACACCTCTTTCCTCCTTATCCTTTTAGACAACCTCACAAACATACACACCACACACCCTCAAATATACCTTACACAGTCAACCTCCTAACAAAACACGTAAACCCCAGTACTTGCCCACCTAAGGCATTCCATAACAAGCACACACTCTTCCACCCTTTGCACACATGGTATCTATCTTACCTGGACCACAACCACTTGGATGGAAACATGGTCTGGCAGTCGGATTGGAGCCCTGAAATACTGGGACAGAGCAACCAGCAGGTGCAGGATGGCTACCAGACTCTTGGCATGAACAGCTGAAATGAAAGATGATGTAAAAAAATCAGAGAATCTTCTAGGTTCTAGGCAGATACAAGCAGATATTCAAAATGTGTCACATCCACTGCCCCTGTATTCCCACCCCTTAGGATCAGGAGACACCCTGGGTCATCGCAGGCCTCATCCTGGGCCCCCTCATTCTTGGCCAAGTCCCAAGGAGCTAGCTTCTTAGATCATGCCATTGCTGGATTTCCAAGGTCGTGCCCTCTGATTTGATCCAAGGTTCCCACAGAGACCCTGACAGTGGCTGAATTTTGAATTCAGGTCAGCTCTCCACCATCTCCATGTCTTTGTTCATTCTATTTTAACAACCATGGGTGTGTCTGCTTTGCACCCTCCTTCCCTTCCCACTTGACTCTGAGCCCTTTGGATTATCACCACTACCCTTGTCCCTCAGCTCTACCCAAAGCAGGCTCTCAATACATAGACACTGAGCCAGGAACGCTGGACCCCTCCTCCCCCTTTGATGAGGGCTCTAAGATCCCTGGAGGAAAGCAGGACTTATCTAAAGGGCTTTGTTGCTCTCTTGAGTGTCAGGTATGGTCAGTGCAGGCAGTGCTCCTTGGGGAATACCTGGAAGGAAGTGTTCAGGACCAGTTGGCTTCTGTAGCTAGAGTGATGTGCTGGATGCTAAGCTATTTATACTAGAGAAATCTGGGCAACTATTGGGTTATAGCAGTGGTCGGCAAACTCATTAGTCAACAGAGCCAAATATCAACAGTGCAACGATTGAAATTTTTTTTAAGAGCCAAATTTTTTAAACTTTAAACTTCTTCAAAATAAGACTCGCCCAGGCCGTGGTATTTTGTGGAAGAGCCACACTCAAGGGGCCAAAGAGATGCAGTTTGCCAGCCACAGGGTTATAGTTTTCTCAGTAGATCTGAGGAGAAAGGAACGGTGGTGTAATGGGGTGCACACATGGTTGAGCAGACTTGAGCTTGAGTTCTGACTTGACAACTCAACCATTTATTTACTGCTGACAAGACCTCTGGTAGGCCACTGAAGGACTCACAGCCTCAATCTGCTCATCTTCACAAATGGGGATAGCTGTGCCCGTGCAGAAACAACGGATGTAAGAATTTCCAGAGATAATGTAAACTAAGCTCCCAGCCCATAGCAGGTGCCCAGGAATGGTTGATATTTTTTTATTACAATTTGAGAAAGTACTTGGCATCTGGGCAATCAAACCACTCTCTCCCCTTTGTTTCTCATAAAAGGGAAGTTTCACCAGACACTTTACCTGCCTTCACAGTTCCTACCAGCCTCATGATCATTCATTATAGGGGTCATTTAAGGCAAGAACAAAAAAGTGCCCATTTTGTGGACTTAGCACAAACCAGGCCTAGCGTTGGGTGTCCTTCTGTCTGGGTTAGGATTGATGAGTCTGCTCTACAGAAGCCTTGAGAAATCACCAAGAAAAGGAAGTGATTCAGACATTCCTTGGGAACTCATTAGAGCTTCTTGTTATCACAAGGCTTTCCACGGGCTGTGGGGCAGCCACTCAGCAACACTATCCAGCAGCGAACAGCCAGCGATCTGCTGCGAACTTCGCCTCCCAGAAGTGTTCAGCTCTAAGCTGCTGAGGATGTCAAAAGTTTCACCCTTCAGGGCAGTCTCAGAGAAGGCTCCTGATGTGGTGTGCACACTCACGTGATCAGAACGGCCCCACCCGCAGCCTAGATGCCCAGGGTTTCAGGACATTTGCTACCTTTCCCCCTTTTAATCACAAAACACAATGCTAGGAAAGCTGTAGCCCTAAAGCTTGTTCTTGCTCCCTGGTGACAGTGTATGTCATCGTGACTGTCTGGGGAGCAACACAGAGAGCTGTCATAAGCACCATACCCATGCCAGACCCTTTCAACGAGTACTCTGCCCGGGGAATTATTTTTTCAAAAGAAATAATATACAGTCTCAGTCTCTCCCTCTCTTCCCCCTCCCTCTCTCTCCCTCTCTCATACTACATGTATAAAGATGTTCATTATTGTGTAATATATTGCCACTAAAAAAAATCTGGAAAATACTGTCCACTAGCAAAAGGTTCCTTTAGATCCATGGTTTGCAATTTTATTATTATTATTATGATGCAGAGAAACCCTTTGTTCTAAAAGCTGTTAGGCAAAACAGATGAAGGAAAGACAGTTGCTGCTCCAGTCCCTGCATCCTAATTGCAGTCCCCCCCCCCCCCAAAGGTGCTTCTCCTCACCCCACTTATCCTGCCTGGAAAGATGACACAATGTCCTCCAAGTACCAGGAAAGATAACGGGAGGGACTGCGCTTCCCTCAGGGCTGTGCCTGCCACATTCCTCAGGGAGGAAACCAGGGCTGCTGGTAAACAGGCCCGAGGCCTCCTAGGGAGCTGGCCCTGGAAATAATCATTCCCTCCTTTATCGCCCTTCTGGGAATCTGTGACAGGACTAATTCAAGGAAAGCAAAAAGAGACACTACCGAAGACATTCAACTCGGCCCTGTCTGATATCGGCCACAGGCTGCCCACCGTCCTGAAAGGATCAGCGTCCAAAGGGGTCAGGTTACCTAGGGGATGCCCACCCCAGGAAACAGAGCGGCTATCAGAAACAGTAACCGTGAAGACCACATGGGAATTCAGAAAACATGTATGACTTACTACTGAGTGAAAATAGCAAAACATACAATGTACCGGACTTCATTGAGTAAAAACATGCATTGACGTGGAGAGTAGGGGGCGAAGATGCAAATAGCCAGACGAGAGAGACAGTGTGAGCGATTTTTTTACTCGTGCACATTTCCCTGCGGGAAATGAAGTACACTTGGTGGTGGTCCTCCTGTGGCTTGTACAAATCCCTACCTTCTCTCCGAGCCTTTCCCCAGGTGGGTTCCCTTGTAAGGTAAAAAGTGCTTTGTTTGGAAGGGTACATGGAGATGGTTCGTGTCCAAAAGAGTGGGAAATAGGATTAAAAAGCAAAACAAAAAAAACTAAGCAGGGGTCTTGATCAGAGGCCTTCGATGCTCATTACTTTATGCTTCAATGCTTATGACTGTTGTGGATTTCCAAATGCAGGTACCTTTCTCAAACCAGTGATCAAGCTTCCTTTTTCCTTCCTTCTTTCCTTCCTTCCGCACTGAGCACTATCAGCACACCCAGGACACAGTGCAGGCAGCATCGAGGGCCCAGAGCCACGGCCTCCCCCTCTCCCCTTCTATGTCTCCCTGGCAGAGGGTGCCCTGTTCCAGTGCTGTGCTTGCTGGCTTTTCACACTGTGCGAGCAAAGGTGTAATTATGCTGAAGGAGGTACTTGGTGTCTCGCCTCCAATGTCAGATGTTAGAAACCTGCTGGAGAGACTGTCACTGGCAGTTACGGGGTCTCTCCGTTGAGAGGTGAAGATTCCTTTTTCTTTGCTAAGTTTGAAAGGTGTTTATTATGGGGGAGGGGAAGGATGTGTCTATTTTAGGTTTTAGAAATTGGGTTCACTAAGATATAGTATTGAATCCTTTAATACTTAAAACAAAGGCAAAGAACGCAACCTAAATCATTTTATCAATCTAAATTCACACTTTTATCTATTGCAAGCAACTAAACAACTCTGGACTCCCCACAGGAGAGAAATAACGTCTCTATGGATTCATCCGATTTGCTGACTTAATGTTGGTTCTGCTATGGACTCATTAAGTCCATATTAGACATCTAGGCCCTTGAGGCAGCGAAAGAATAAATGGTTCACACTTGCTGGGATCCTTGACCTAGCTAGCTGTGAAACCTGAACTTAAAAATCCTTTGCCAGTCCCTACAATGTCAGCCATATCTTTGTTTCTTCTGGAAAATGAGTGATGGAGAGAAAGGCTGTGGGTATTGTTCTAGAGCCTGCCCTTGTCCCTCTCCCCTACCTCTACCCACCTTGGCTTCTCAGCTGCCTGCACTCTGCTTCCTGTAGCCCCTACAAGAGTGTTCTCAGAAGGTCATGCTGGGACATAGACGTAGCTCAATGAACACGAGTGTCCTTCCTCTCCCCACCTTACACGAGCTCCTACAGAAAAGATATCCTGGATTTTGACATCATTTGTCGCAGAGACAAGTCCTCTGTGTAGGAGATGTGTCCCTCCTTAGTAAGGTGAATGGGCCTGCACCCACCCAGGGCTGGCCAGCTTCCTGGCTGGCTTCTTGGGGTACAGACCACCGGCACCATTCCCAAGACCCGCCTCTCTCGGTAACACTCACAGTCCACATTCCACTTGATGCTTCTGGGAGGAAGTTTCAGGGTCTCATTGATCTTCTCCAGGACAGTCTGCAGCTTTTGCTTCTGTGCAATCTCTGACTGGGTGACCTCAGCCACGTTCAGCTTCTCACTCTCCAGTTTCTCTGGGGCGACACAGGAAAAGAGAACAACTGTGATCTTTGGCCACAGATGACCCCAACACGGAGGCCTAACCTCACACATTCACGAGCTCGCTCAACATACACATGCATACCTCCTTTTATTGCACTTCGCTTTATTGCTCTTCAGAGATGTTGTGTTTTTTACAAATTGAAGGCCAGACCTAGCAAAAAGATTATGACTCATTTTATTGCAGGGATCTGGAACCAAACCCACAGGACCCCTGAGTATGTCTGTAGATGAGGCCTCGGGCCTGTTTACCTGGTTTCCTCCCTGAGGAATGTGGCAGGCACAGCCCTGAAGGAAGCGCAGTCCCTGAAGGAAGCTCTCCCCTCCTCATCGGACAGTGGGACACTGGTGCGGCCAATAGGTGAAAACCTTGAATCCCCAAATTTTAAGATCCCAGGACCTTAGATGTGGGGCCTTTAACCCAGTCTGTCATATTTGAACTATTTTTTTTCTGTTTCTGGGTTTCTCCCTCCTTTTTTCCATTCTGCCTTCTCCAAGGACATCCTTGTGCCCTACCTGGAAAGCCTCCTGTGCTTCCCCTGGACAAGTTCTTATTCAAGACATTCTGTACACCCCGTAGTATAATATGTGTCACGCTGAGTCATATTCATCTGTTTTAAGTACCTTCTTTTCTTTAAAACCCTCCTGGAAAGTTACTTATTTGGCATGTCCTAGTTCAGTGGTTGGCAAACCGCAGCTCACGAGCCACGGTTTGCTGCTCTGTTGACTAATGAGTTTGCCGACCGCTGCGTAAGACATTACCCTTACCCAGAAGTTTTGACTTCAGCTTAAAGACATTAGTACATTATTAAAATGTTTTTTAAGTGTTTTTCCCTAAGTGGTTGGCAAACTTATTTGTCAACAGAGCTGCATGTGGCTTGCAAGCCGCAGTTTGCTGACCACTGTCCTAGTTCATCAATTCTAAGGTACACTTTTTCTTTCTCTTTCTTTTTCTTTTTCTTTCTTTTTTTTTTTTTTTTTTAGATTTTAACAACCTTGAAATCAGGTTGTGTCTTAAAATTGACGGCATTCTATAAGTGCAGTCAGGCAGGTAGATGTGAGTTTTCACACTTCCACATGTGTGTGTTTGGTTGTAGCTCTGCTAGTGTGCCCACTCCCATTCTCAATAAGCCCTAAAAGAACAGTTTCAAGACAGAAAATAAAAATTCTAAGTAGTAATGAAGCTTTGTGTAGGGTTTTTCTTTTTTCTCTTTTTGGGTGGTACTTATATGTGTGTTTAAAAATCAAAGGTTATTGTATGCAACGATATCTTAAAATAGATTGTTCTTTGCCTTTATTTGTCTAAATTCTCATGCTTGTTTATTAGAAAGAAAAAAAGAAAAAAAAAAGAAAAAGAAAGAACAACTTGAGACTCTGTAACGAGAAATATACTGTCTACTATTAGATCCATCTGTGTAGCTCTCCACACCTCATTGAGGATTAATAGAACTGACACTCTGAAATGTATTTAAAGTATCTTTTCCCCTCATTTTTAGAGGCTGTCATACAAAGTAATTAAACTTTACCTTACATCAATGATTCCCCGATTGCTAACATTACTTATTTTTAAGCAGCTCTAGCTGATCCAAGTTAAATGTCCCTTGGGTAATGACGAGGTTGCCACTGGAGAATTCCTGCAGGTCCTGTGCATTTCTTTTCTGTGCTTTAATAGGATGATCTCTAGCTATTCTTATCTCTGATGGCCTGAAATATTAACTTCCTCTGTAGTTGCCCGAAGCCGTCATTCTTTATTTCTAAAGTTCAGGGATTTAGCAAGCCTGCATCTAAATGTCTTCCTCTTGAATGTTACACCTTGAAGGGGCTATGAGCTTTCCCATTTTTAGGCTGTGAATTCCTATCTTGGATTCTCTTCTACTGAAGAAATGACAGGTTGTTTTCAACTTCCATGGCAGCGACAGTGTGGGGAGTTGGGTAGAGGCTGCTGGAAGTGCTAGGTTAAGGAAACCTGTGAAGCCTTATCTTGGCTCAGAGGGAAAGACTGCTGGGACAGAAAGGTCAGAGGGGAAGAGTGGCAGCATGAGAGCCACTGTGTAGCTAGCCTTATTGTATTATATGATTGCCTATGAATTTCCATATTTATAGCCTGCCGGCTTTGGACTTCTTAGAGTGAATAGCTTAGGTCTCCGAGTCTGTTTCCTAGGTCGGTCACTTTTCTTTTCTTTTTTTTTTTTTATGGCAATATTGGTCCATTCTGTTTTCATTTCTAAAAACTTAGATTTTACACAGTACCTCTAGGATAGTCATTGTTTCTTGTTCCACCAATATTTTTAAGTAGTTGCACACTAACATTTTAATGCATTCTTCCTCAAGTTGTTTTTGTTTTTTTTTGTTTTAGCATCTGGCATTGTTTATTTAGAGGCACTTTTAAGGCTTTATTTCTTTTGCATTCCTAATTTTTTAGAAAATGCAATTCCACTGAACTTTTTTCCACTTTAGTAATCATGCTTTCGGGTTTTCTTTTTGCCTTTAATTTTATGGTTGCATATTTTATTTAGGCGTTGGCATTATGTGGACCCGAGGAGAGACTATCTTGAGGTAACCCTAATTAATAGTTCTAGGCATATCTCTTCATGTTCATAATACACAGAGAACTCAGAGTTGTTTCTCAATAGTGAAAGTGAGATTACCTTGCATATATTTTTCTATGACAGGTTTTACCACTCAAGGATATGAGTTTTTTTCTATGTCAATATATATAGGTATAACTTTTTTTGTTTGCTTGTGTGTTTACTTTTTTTTTTTTTTTTTTTTTTTACCCCCTTCACCCTTCATATCCCTGTCTCTGGCAACCACCAACCTGTTGTTTTTCTTTTCTTTATTGACATATAAGTGAGATCATATGGTATTTGTCTGAATTATTTCACCTAGCATAGTGTCCTCAAGGCCCACCCATGTTATTACAAATTGCAGGATTTTATTCTTTTCTATGGCCAAATTTCATTACATACATAAATCACATTTTCTTTATCCATTCATTCATTTGATAGACACGTTGTTTCCATAGCTTGGCTATTGTCAATAATGCTTCAAGGAACATGGGGTGCATCTATCTTTTGGAGTTAGTGGATTTGTTTTCTTCAGATAAATAAATACCCAGAAGTGGAATTGATGAATCATAAGGTAGTTTATTTTTAATTTTTTTGAGAAACCTCCATATAGTTTTCCACAATGGCTGTACCAATTTATATCCCATCAACAGTACACAGGGTTCTCTTTACTTCACATCTTTGCCAACACATAATTCTTATCTTTCATTATAACATGTGTGAGGTGATATTTCTTTAAAAATTCCTCACTTGAGGATATGTTTTTATTAATTTTAGGGAGAGAAAGCTCATTGGTTGCCTCCTATAGGCACCCTAACCTGGGAACAAACTTGTAAACTGGGTATGTGCCCTGACTGGGAACCTAACCTGTGACCTTTAGGTGTGCGGGATATGCTCCAATCAACTGAGCCACACCAGGCAGGGCTCATTGTGTAGTCTCTTATCATCCTCTGTATCTGTGGCATCAGGTGTATTCTGATTTTATTTGTTCCCCTGCCCCTCTGGTGAGTCTAGCTAAAGGTTTGTCAATTTTGTTTGCCTTAAAAAAAAAAAAAAAGTCTCAGCTTTATCAATCTTTTCTATAGTCTTTTCAGTCTCTTTCAGTCTCTTTATGTCTCCACTAGAGGCCCAGTTCATGAATTCGTGCATGGGTGGGGGTCCCTCAGCCTGGCGGGCAATCAGAGCTGATCAGGGCCATCTCCTTCAGTTCTGATCAGGGCCAGCCAGGGAGAGGGACTGTGGGAAGTTGACAGGCAATGGGAGGTTGGCTCTGGGAGTGCACTGACCACCTGGGGGCAGTTCCTGCATTGAGCCTCTGCTCTCCTCTCCCCCTCCGCCTCCCCCCCCCGCCCTCCCCCCCCCCCCCCCCCCGCCTGGTAGCAACTAGTTGACTGGTTGCTTTTATATATAGATATGATATGTCTCACCCAAACATATATCATGGGTATCTTTCTACATTGATATAACTCATTCTTTTATAGGACTTATAACCTTTTTTATTCAACCATTCCCCTGTCAAGTTATATACTACTTTTCTCTATTGGTAATCAAGTTTCAATAAATATGTCGTGTGTGTGTGTGTGTGTGTGTGTGTGTGTGTGTGTGTTACTAAATGATAATTGTTGATAAAAAGAAAAATTGTTGCCTTACCTTACAGATTTTCTTCTTGAATAAAGTCATCTCACCAAATCCCCTTAATAGTTCTATTATTGTTTATCTGAATATTTAGCATTTTGGGGGGCATTCAAATAAGATAAAACACAGCCATCTCTACTTTGTAAGCTTATATCACTTATTTCAATTTTATGTCATTTTAAAAGGTTTACCTGAGAACCTTTTCTGCTATTCCTAGCCCTTTTTTAAAAAAAATTCAACTCTCAAAATTTAAAAGATGTACTCAAATAGTCATATAGTTAAATAATAAAACTCATTCCCTGTTGCTAAGGAGTTAAAGAAAATTTGTTTTTCAAGACTCATAGTTTTCCTCTTTTGTCCTTTATTAGGCAAATTTTAGCTAGTGCTATGGAAATTTTCTGTTGCAGAAATTTGAGTCCTCCAGGAAATTGTCTCTCATATGTTGCCATAGTTCTGAAAATTGTTCATCATTAGTTTAACTTGTTGTAAAGTAGTAGGCATGATTTTGCTTTTTAGAAAATTTTCTCAAGTAGAAATATTTTATGAATCTTTCCATTGTTTTTGAAGTTAGCAAAAAATGAAACAGCATTATTCAAAAGTTCTGAAATATCAATACAAGGAAGAAAAACTCAATTACTCTGAATGGTCGAAGAACTGAGGTGTTCTAGAGAAAATGTTGCCATATAAATCTTATTATATTAATGTAGCCACCTCTCAAAGAAGTAGAATACATACTTCCTTGTTTCAGTATGAGTGAGTCCTAGTTATTATAT